TGATTTTAATCTTGAAAATGAGCCACGTGGGTGACCTGAGACCAAAGTGGATAATGATGAGCTGAAATCTCATAGTGGAAGCAAATCCATCTCAACCTACATGTGAATTAGCAGCAAGGTTTGACATTCTATTCCAATAATATTGGACCATTTGAAACAAATCAGCAAGGTAAAGAAGCTGGATAGGTGGGTTCCACGTGAGCATTGAAGAGAAATTATCTCAAAGCTTGCCTTTCTTTGCTGTCATGACATAAAGGTGAACCATTTCTATACTGTATTGTTATGTGCAATGAAAAATGGATTCTTTTTGACAATCACAAACATTTGGCACAACGGTCGGACAAAGATGAAGTGCTGAAACACAATCCAAAAGCAGATATTCATCAAAAAAAGCTCATAGTGTCTGTTTGGTGGTCCAGCACTGGTATCATCCAGTACAGTTTCATGAAACCTGGTCAATTGATTATACCGGATGTCTGCTGCAACCAATCGGATGAAATGATGAGGATGGTTGTGATAAAGCAGCCAAGATTGGTCAATAGAGATAGGCCAATCCTCTTGCAAGACAATGCCTGAGCACATGTTACACAAACAAAGCTGCTCAAACTACAGAAGCCGGACTTGGAAACTCTCTGTCATCCACTGAATTCCCTAGTGATTACACCAACTGACTACCACTTCTTCCAGGCTTTGGACCACTTCTTGCAAGAAAAAATATTCAATTCTCAACAAGTTGTGGAAAATACCTTCTGCGATTTCATCACCACTCTCTCTCCAGGGTTCTTTGCTGCTGGCATAAACAACATACCATTAAGATGGCAAAACTGTGTCGATAATTTAGGCACATGCTTTGATTAATTGTACTGCTTAATATAATAAACTTTTGATTCGAAATTGGACATTTCATATTTAATGACCTAATAGTAGCAGCGGCAGGAGGAGCAGCAGCAGCAGTAGTGTTAGTGGTAATAGTAATGGTAGCAGTAGCTAATATTTATTGAGCTCTTACTGTGTGCCAGCACCATTCAAACCTCTCTAAATCTGTTAATAAATCTAATAACAGCTCTATTATGAGTTAGTGTTTTCCTCGTTTTATAGATGAGGAAAGACACAGAAGGGTTAATATGCTTGCCTTTGTTACATTGTTGGCTTTAAACCAACAAAGGCAGGTTTGTTTAGCAGGACACACAAAAAATTGACTTTTTTCTTTCCTCATTTTAGTTATTAGAAAAATTAAAAGAACGTTGGCTCTCCACTGGTTTATGGCATAATCTGGAGTTGGTGAAGACAGTCATTGTAGAACCACAGGGAGGAGAAAAAACTGATTTTGATGAATTACTGCAGGTATACTATGATGCGATCCAGCATAAAGGAGAGAAAGGTAATTGAAAATTATTTCATGTCAGTGAAAAATATTTTTTACTATAAAGTAAAAAGTTGGTGCTGTTAGAATTTCATTTATTACTATCTTTTTAAATGAATTATACTTAAAATTATATTTCATAATCCTGGGTGAAAAGAATGTAAATTACGTAAAGAAATTCTTTTATTTAGAGTTGTCTTTGTATGAGTATTTTCACTTGGATGTGCTGATTCAATTTTAAGGAACAGCATGCCTTTATGTATTATCCTATAGTCTTTCTTGTACTACCTGAAATATTTTGTGCAAGAAGGCACCTAGGATATATATAAATATCTTCTAGCCAAATGAGACCTACATTTTGATACAAATAATATACTTTGTGCTTATATTCTATTATATAAGGTAAACTGGAGTTTTCAAAACATAACTGAAGACTCAATTTCTAGGTTAGAGAATGTCTATAAAGAATTTGATGTAAAGGGCTAATAATAATAATAATTTATGAACAATGCAACAGTAAAGATAATATAACATAATTGATAAGAATATATATAGTATTCTGTATGTATTTTAAGTACTTTTCAATATAATATTGATTCAATATGATATACTTTACAAATTAGAGTTATTTAAATTGTTCTGAGAATTTTACTTTGTGGTGATAAAGGTAATGATTGAAGTTTCAGTTTTTATAAAGTAACACTTCATAATTGCTTATTTCATATGCAAGTTGCTATTCTAATGTGGTTTTACTATATAAGTTATCTGTGAGATGAACAGTTTGTAAATTGGTTTGTTACCCTATTGCATATAAATATAATTTTGTTCCCCTTATTTACTTAAAGACATTGAATTTTTAAAACTTTATCTCATAATTGTGTTTTATTTTGATTATTTTAAAAATTGCTACTATACTTAATATTCAGGTCTTTTCAAAATGACAAGAATAAGCAATTTCTGAGGATTTTGAATATGCTTTTCAAAATGTTTATTTTCTGTTGCTTAAGATGGAGCCCTCCTGGTAGCAGTTTGTCGTGGTAAAGTGAGTGAGGGTCTGGATTTCTCAGATGACAATGCCCGTGCTGTCATAACAATAGGAATTCCTTTTCCAAATGTGAAAGATCTACAGGTAGGCCATTAAAGCCTTAAGAAGTTTTATCATCATAGGAGTCATTGGTTTAGTGTGAAGTTAATTACATACCTTGTTTTACTACACTTTGCATTATTTTGTGTTTTTACAAATGAAGGTTTGTAGCAATAATGCATCAAGCATGTCTATTGACACCAGTTTTCCAATAGCATGTGCTCACTTTGTGTCTCTTTGTCTCATTTTGCTAATTCTCACCATATTTCAATCTTTCTCATTATTATATCTGTTTGATTTGTGATTAGTGCTCTTTGATGTTACCATTTTAATTGTTTTGGGGTGCATTGAACCATGCCCATGTAAGAAGGCAAACTTAATTGATAACTGCTGTGTGTGTTCTGACTGCTCCACCAACCAACCATTCCACTGTCTCTCTCTCCTCGGGCTTCCCTATTCCCTGAGACACAACAGTATTGAAATTAGACAAATTAATAACCCTACAATCATCTCTAAGTGTTTGAGTGAAAGGAATAGTTACACATCTCTCACTTTCAATCAAAAGCTAGAAATGATTAAACTTAGGGAGGAAGATATATCGAAAGCCAAGATAAGCCAAAAGCTAGACCTCTTAGACCTCTTGCATCAAACAGCGAAGTTGTGAATACAAAGAAAAAGTTCTCGAAGGAAATTAAAAGTGCTACTCCAGTGAATTCATGAGTGATAAGAAAGCCAACAGCCTTCTTGCTGATTTGGAGAAAATTATAGTAGTCTGGATAGCTCGAACCAGCCACAACATTCCCTTAAATGAAAGACTAATCCAGAGCAAAGCCCTAACTCTCTTCAATTCTGTGAAGGCTGGAGAGATAAGGAAGCTGCAGAAAAAAGTTGGAAGCTAGCAGAGTTTGGTTCATGAGGCTTCTTTCAAGACATCTCCATAACATAACAGTGTAAGGTGAAGCAGCAAGTGCTGATGGAGAGAAGCTGCAGCGAGTTGTCCAAAAGATCTAGCTATGATAATTGATGAAGGTGGTGACACTAAACAGTAGATTTTCAGTGTAGATGAAACAGCCTTCTATTGGAAGAAGGTGCCATCTAGGACTTTAATAGCTAGAGAAGAGAAGTAATTCCTGGCTTCAAAGCTTCAAAGGACAGGGTGACTCTCTTGTTAGAGACTAATACAGCTAGTGACTTTAAGTTGAAACCAGTGCTCATTTACCATTCTGAAAATCCTCGGGCCCTTAAGAATTATGCTAAATCTGTTTGGCCTGTGCTCTATAGATGGAAAAACTAAGCCTGAATGACAGCACGTCTGCTTATAACATGGTTTACTCAATATTTTAAGCCTACTGTTGAAACCTGCTCAGAAAAAAAGATTCCCTTCAAAATGTTACTGGTCATTGACAATGCACCTAGTCACCCAAGAGCTCTGATGGAGATATACAAAGGGATTAATGTTGTTTTCATGCCTGCTTAAACAATATCCATTCTGCAGTCCAAGGATCAAGAAGTAATTTTGGCTTTCAAGTCATATTATTTAAGAAATACATTTTGTAAGGCTGCCATAGATAGTGATTTCTCTGATGGATCTGGACAAAGTAAATTGAAAACCTTCTGGAAAGGATTCACCATTCTAGATGCTATTTAGAACATTCATGATTCTTGGGAGAAGGTCAAAATATCAAGATTAATAGGAGTTTGGAAGAAGTTGATTCCAGCTCTCATGGATGACTTTGAGGGTTTCAAGACTTAAGTGAAGGAAGTAACTGCAGATACGATGGGAATAGCAAGAGACCTAGAAGTTGAGACTGAATTGCTGCAATCTCATGATAAAATTTGAACAGATGAGGAGCTCCTCCTTAAGGATGAGCACAGAAAGTGGTTTCTTGGGATGGAAACTACTCTTGGTGAAGATGCTGTGAACATTGTCAAAATGACAACAAAGGATTTAGAATATTCCATAAACTTAGTTGATAAAGCAGCAGCAGGGTTTGAGAAGCTTGATGCCAATTTTGAAAAAAGTTCTACTGTAGGTAAATGCTATGAAAGAGCATCACATGCTACAGAGAAATCTTTCATAAAAGGAAGAGCCAATTGATGTGGCAAACTTCACTGTTGTCTTATTTTAAGAAATTGCCACAACCACCCCAACCTTTAGCAACCACCACTCTGATCAGTCAGAGGCCATCAACATCAAGGTATGTTTTTCTTATATCCTCAGACATTGTATTTTAAATCTTTGGCGATCCTGCATGAGTGAGAAAGGTTGGTAGATATAGGTTTATTTTTATTTATTTTTTATTTCAGGGTATTATGAGGGCACAAACATTTTTGGTTACATTTTATGTCTTTGCCTCACCCAAGTGAGGGTTAGAGGCATGCCCTTCCCCTTTACAATGCTCACCGTGTCCTTTAGTTGTGGGTTTACCCCACCAATCCCCCTAATCCCTGGAGAATATTACTGCCATGTGAGCACCCTAGTGTTCATCAGTTAGTACCAATTTGATGGCGAGTACAGGTGGAGCCCATTCTTCCGATCTTGTGATACCGCACTTTGGATAATGGGCTCAAGTTTATTTTATTTTCAACTTACACAGTCTTTCATTCAACAAGAGTGGTTTTTCAAAGTGTAGTCCTGGGTCAGGGGCATTAGTATCACCTGGGAACTTGATAGAGAAAGACACACTTTCAGGCTTAACCAGCCCTACTGAATCGGAAACTCTGGAGGTGGAGCTCATCAATTTATGTTTTATCAAACTCTTAACCAGACTCATAGGTCACCCCCCAGGGAAGTTTAGGGCCCTCTGTCCCTCTAGCTCCCTTCTTTCCAGTGCCCTGCTTTGCAGATTTTGTGATTTTAGCTGCTCCAAATTCTGATCCCTTCCACCTCAGCTCAGCAGGACCATTGTACTCTGCTTGTATTTAAATACTCTATACTATGGTTAGGAAATTATATGCAGGCAGAGAGCTAGGAATAATGAAGTTCACCTAATGAATTCCCCTTATCTCTGGAATTGTAGTCTTCTGCTGTCTGTTGTCTATTCCCTGAAAGCAGTTGCTCTATTTTGCCCAGTTACACAGTTACTAACAATGGAAGAAATATTTCCAAACTTGTTACTCTGTCTTAGCCAGGAACAGTTTTGTGTCATTATCACTGATTATTTTCTAAACAATATATTTGAAAAATTATAGTAATAATTTGAAGGCTGAGGTGTAGTTCTTTTTTTTTTTTTTTTTT